TTAAACATTTGGAAAAAACATTTTATAAATATTTTTTTCCACAACAACATATCCATATGGCAGTTAACTGGGGTATATATTTAAACCCTTGCATGTACAGTATATCCCCATGCATATGTATTTAATATACTTATTAAATAAGTACTTATGTTGTCACTCAACAGATAGCTTTTTGATATGACTTTTAATCTCTTCGAGATGTCAAATCAGACTGTTTGAAAGGACCACATGTGCTTTATCGAGCAAAACATGACAAGACACTGCTTCTGAGTGGGTGGGTTAGTGGGAAGCAAATCATTTATTTTATTATTTCTCAGAAACAAGGATCTGTAAGATAATTACCTGGTTAGGATGAGGTAAGTTAGAATAACTTACACTGAATATGGCTGGAGAGATAAGGTTGTCCTGGGTAGCATGAAAACAGATCCCAAGGAGACAGGAAAGTTAAACTAATCTGATATTTCTTAGCTGAAAATCCTAGCATATAAATTTAGCTTTACTAACTTCGAACCACTGGAATTATATTTCATTATAATTAATATTTTAGACTTCCTTATCTAACCAGAATGGGTTAAAGGACTTTACAGAAATGAGAAAAAAGTAATTTTTTTTCTAATCCTTATTGATAATGGGGGATTTTTTTTTTCTTTCTGTGTCTCTGTGTCTGCCTTAGAGGACTGGACCATAATTCTGGATTGATGAGAAATGAAATCTGACAATTTATCTCAAAATAAAACCAAACTCAACAAGTGAACATTATCTATTTTAGCTATTGGCACTCTCACATAAGTCAATCTTGTCTTTTATTATGTTGTTCTTGTAAAACTCAGCAATATTGTCGTAGGCTGATTTTCTGGTAGACTGGGAATTTTGCTTTACTTGTCCCGAAACCGAAGATCCTGATACGTGATTCAAAGAACCCGATTCCTGAAATGTTTCCTAAGACTTCTCCAGCCAGAAAGAGGAAAAAATCAGTCCTTGCAGATTCCAGATGTGCTCCCTTGTTGTGTGGTCGAGGCCTGAGACCCTGTTTGCGTGTGCCCGCGGGAAAGCGGGTCCCTTCTGCGAGGAGAAGGGCTCTGGATGTGCCGGCTCCTCCAGGAGTGGCAGGGCCTGGCAATCCCTGCCTGTCTGGGCTCTGAGGGGGCAGATTTCAGACCTTGCAGCCCCAAACTTGCAACCAGACGTGACGTTTCTTTTACCCAGCTTGCAGAACAGAGGAAAATAATTGCCTGCCCTTGTGTTTCTCACACCCCATTAGGTGCTTTGCCGACTCAAACAGGAAAGACAAAAAGCGCCTCATGTTCAAGGAACTTGTAATATTTGTGTTCATTCCAGCTTCAGACTTTGCTGCCTAAATGGTTTGTTTTCTGATGTTCTTGCCATAGTTTTTCAGACACTTTTCTGAGTGTCCTGAGGGCAGGTGGGATTGGAGGTGGGCAGTTCCCTCACTTTTGAAATAGTGCCTTGGTGGATCATGGCTCATTCTGCTTTAGAGACTCATTTTTCGATGTCCTTGCTTTGCTCCTGAACTGAAAAATGCTGCTTTACTGTTTAAGAATTTTTAATTTTTTAATCAAAATGTCTGTGAAGTCTTGGAGCAAATCACTGCACAGAATTTTCAGAAACCTCTCAGAAATGGTGGGGAACTGGTGGATTTGATCTGGAAAATCTTTGGTCCTTTCTGCATCTGGATTGAAAACAAAACACAGAATGTGAAGCTTTCCTGAACACATCTCATTTCCAGAAGTGTCTCTCCTCGGAGTCCTGGTGTGAACACTCAGTAGCTGTTTGTGGTGTTCACAGCAGGTTTTTTCCTCCATGTGTCAGAACCATACCTTACATTAGTTTGCAACTAGTTTTGGTTAAATGAGTTTATAGAAAGCCACTCTTACTGTGTTTTAGCAAAGGATTATTTTAGACTGGTTTCGATTTGATCCCACTGAATTAGATTTAAATTGATATAACCTAAGTTTATATTGATTTAATGGTGTCTCAGCCCTTCATACTGGTTTAGCAGAACTGATTTGTAGTAAGTCCTCATGAATCCTGGATTCCAGAAATGGGTAACTCAGCTCTTCCAGCATTACCGTGGGGCTGCAGGACCTGGAGGGCTCCGAGCTGGAGAATTCCCTGTCCAAGCACCCTCTGCTCACCAGAGACAATAAATGCTGCCAACACCTCCAGTGTTCCAGTCGGAACCTCCCCTGCACGTGGGCACACAGTCCATCTGAGCAGGGAGCTGGGATCATTTCCCAGATGCTCCCACGGCATCCTGGAATAATATGGCAGGATCATTGTGCAGGGAGAAGGTGCCCAGACAGTCCCTGTGGAGGCATCAGTGACATCCATCAAGGGTTTGCTGTTCTTAAAAGGCAGAGATGGGCGTGCATGGCCAGTTTGTGTGGGCAGCCTGGCATCCAGGGAGCTTGCAAAGAGCTTTCTGCTGGATTATTCCTCTTTGGTCTCTCCTGCCAGGGCCTCCCACAGTCTGACACAACTGTAGGAGAAGACAGGGGGATCATCATGGCAAAGGAATATTTCCTTGGGGGAAGACATTTCTTGTTTGATTTTTTTTTTCCGAAGAATGGCTTTTTCAAGTGATAAAAGGAGGGTGAGATGGGTTGACAGACTGAATCTTTATTTAAAATTTTATTTAAAGCTTTTTAAAAACTGAATCTCTATTTAATCTGTTATTTTAAGTTGGTCCACGTCAGGGCTGAAATGGAGTTGGGAAGTTGCTTCCGAGGTGTGGATTTCCTGAGCAATGGGGCAGTGCCTGATCTCTCCTGTTGGCATTAACCTGTGTGAGATGTGGCTGCTTAATTGTTCAACACCCCCTTCTCTCCCAGCTAGAATAAGACTGGGTTTGCCTCTTGCTCTGAGCCCTCAAGATCATCACAGGAATTCCTGGAGGCTTTGAACAGCCTTCAGTCCTCCTTTTCTTTGCCAAAATGCCAAACCACAGTTACCAGCAGACATTATAGAAAAAACACTTTTAACAAGAAACTCTCAACCATGAGAAGATATTTTCTAGGAAAATGTTTTCTGTTTCGCCATAAAGAGGGTTGTTGTTGGAAATACAAACCTTCTTCATTAGAGACAGCAGTTGGAGAAATATAAAGTGTTCTGCTTGTAGGACTTCTTGTAAAAATAAAAATACTTTTTATTGACAAAAACTAAGGGAAAAAAGCACACCATGTGCTCTAATGATAAACAACTGCTTTCCTGTTCATGTGGAGTTCAAACAACAGGCAGGATGCTGTTTGGCTGCCTATGGCTGAGGACTTTTAACTTCTCTGCTTGGCTGGGGATCCAATGCAAACAGTTTGCTCTGTCTAAGGTGAGAAGTGCATCCAGTGAATAGAAACAGTTTTGGGCTGGGAAGGGGAATGACAAACTTTAATCTGCAAATGTCACTTTAAACTCACTATGTGAGATACCCGTGGTTCTCAGCCAGTGTGTTTCTGTGATTTAGCTACATTTCCTGCCAGATTGTTCAGCTCCATACAGATCCCTTGCTCCTGCAGTGTGGAAACCTGAATAATAATTTGAGCTGCAGAAAGCCCTGGTGACTCGCTGGCCTACTTTGCTGTCCCAGGGGGAAGGGGCACTTCTCTAATTCAGGAGCCATGGCTTTGGCAGATGGCTCTATTTACTCCATGAGCAGGTCAGGACAAGAGGAAAAATGGAATGTAATCCAACAGTATTCAATTAAAGGTAGCTCTGTGCAACTGTACCTAAGTCACTGCTGTCAAGTCCTCTAGGGAGTGTGTTCGTTTGTCAGCCTTGTTTCCTAAGGAAATGAGGATGTCTGCCTGTCTGCCAGTCTGTCAGATCTGTCCTCTCCAATTAATTTATTAATCTCTTTGCCATTATCAAGGAAAAATGGCCAAAGAGGAGGGTTTTCAAACGTACAAAATTCCAACGGAGTTGACAGAACTTGGCAACTGAGACAGAAGGAGATCCAGAGGGTCTCCATGGAGGGAAAAGCAGATGGAAGCACATCTACCCATTCCCAGCCTGGGGAGCAGATCAGACCTGTTGGTCTCAGCAGGCACATTCTGCCTCACCAGGCTGAACCAGGATAGTCCTACCCAGCCATCCACACAGCTGGGAAATGTGGGAGCACACTGGGGGAACTGTCTGCAGAGTTCAAGATTAGTTAAAGACCTAAGAACAGATAGAGTAAGATAAGACAGAAAAGCTCTTAGAAAAAAACATTTGAAAAATCAACCAAGCAAACATTCCGAGTTCCCAAAAAGTTGAACCTTGTGTGTATTAAATTTCATCTCTGTTTTGACTAGAGCTCAAAACTGGTTTTGGAACCAGATGTAAACATTAGTATTATTATGGCTTTTTTAAGAAAAATATAATTTGCTTCAGTTTTCTTGGAACTGAAAGCACAGGGAGAGATGGCAGAGCAGGTTCAAGTTCCAGCTGATTATTGGATTCATTAGAAACGGGCTGTGTGAAGCAAACAATGCAGGCAAACCCTGGAGGAAGCAGGGTGAGAGGGTTTGGGCTCTTGCCTTTGTATGCTGTCCACCCCCCCAGCAGATTAGATATTTGGAAGTATTTCCAGACATTTTTCATTTTGTTGGTAAATAGGCATGCACTTGTTCTGGGATTTCAGTCCCCAACTGTTCACTTTATCCAAGGGAGAAAGGCAAAAACATAAGTGAAGCTCAAACAATAAAACCTCAGTAATGGGTCAGGCCTGTTATTATTACATGATTTCAGGCTTGGAAAGGTCATTTATGTTTTCCAAGTTGGATTTATTTTTTACACTTATTTGTAATATTACCTCGCTGTGTTTCATAATGTCAGGGAAAATGTCTAGTTTCAGGCCTAAAATGTCAAAGCAGCATTTTCAAAATCACTCAGCACTGAGCCACATGTTTTTCTGCTGGAGTCAGTGGTAATGGTCCCATTTGCCTTTGCAGGCTCAGGGTAGTGCTGAATGCTACAGAAATCCACATTTCTTACCATTTTTGCAGGCTGCACTTCTGCATGTTCCCCTTCCTTCTCCTCTTCCGTGGGCCTGTTCCTCGGTGGAAAGATTCCTGGCATGAAAGATAAAAGCATGACAGCTCTGAGTCCCAGATTCACTTCCAATCCTTCCTAATGACCACAGGTTGAACCATGGAACTGATTTGTGCCTCAGTTCACCCCTCAGTGACCCCCAGAATCCCCAGCTCAGAGGGCTTCACAGTCCACCAACACCTGGGAATGACAAAGCTGCTGCTTGAGCAAGTGCCAAGTATCATGGAATATTATATTATGGAATAAACTGTTCCTGTAGCATTGTGAGAAGTCAGAGAGATGAAGTTGATGCAATGCAGACACGTCTCCATCTGTGCCTCCATGTGAGGGAGCTGTTCTGGATACACCGACTGCCACAACTCAGGATTCCACTAGCAAGGAAAATCAGGCTTAAAAAAACTTGATGAGAATCTATTGCTGATTGGCTTTGTCATGGTGCAAACAAAAAAGGGGCACAGAATAAATGAATTTGCTGTTCCAAACTCTGATTCAAAGTTAGGTGGGCTTTCTAATGACTCCATGAGCACACAGTGAAACGTCTCTGCTGCTGGGGTAGGCAGGACAGGCCCAGTGCCATATTCTTAAGGATAGCTTTGTTTTGCCTGCTCTAGAGATATCTTATGTCTTCAGCTGTGAGTACTGCCAGATAAAAAACCTCTTAGCACTGAGATTCTCTAATCCTCCAGACAGGATAAAAAGCCCCCACATTCCCCTGCCGTTGTCTGCCCTCTCCTGTGCCTTGCATTACTATCACATCAGCTTAGAATTAGCTGATAAGAGAAGCAGGAGTGTGCAATAAGCTTGTGCTCTCCACTGCTTCTATGTGGCAGGAATATTTCCTTTGACTTGTATTCAATACCTTGGTTTATGAACATTATCCTTCTTCTTACTCAGCTGGTTTCCTGCAGAGAATTGCTGTGATTTTAGAGTAGGAGCCCTATATTATACCCTATAAGAGTAGGAGCCCTATATTATACCCTATAAGAGTAGGAGCCCTATATTATACCCTATAAGAGTAGGAGCCCTATATTATACCCTATAAGAGCAGGAGCCCTATATTATACCCTATAAGAGTAGGAGCCCTATATTATACCCTATAAGAGTAGGAGCCCTATATTATACCCTATAAGAGTAGGAGCCCTATATTATACCCTATAAGAGTAGGAGCTCTATATGGGGGTTTCTCTGATGAGTGTTTGGGAGCAGAACCATCAGGAATGTTGTTCTTCCCCCTGGATTGATGTGTGGAACTGGCTGAAGCAGCTCAGACACGTCATGGGCTCCCAGAGGACCTGAAAAATTAGAATTCCTTCTAGAAGAATATTCCTTCCTCCTGTGTGGTATTTGTACAAACTCCTCTGCTGTCACATCTGGGAGCAGGAACAGAGAAAGGGTTTGGCCTCAGGATGATGAAGCAGCAGCAACAAATAAAATTCTGGTCCCAGAGCACTGGTTTTACTGAGGGTTTTTTTTCAGTCAGAGTATCTCAAATTGTGGTATCCACTTATGGAGGAAGATGGGATTGCTTGTTCAAGATCTTGGATTTCACTTGAGTTATCAGGGAGATTTCTTTAAGTTATTGCATGTTTTCCTGTTGTTTTTTGTTTGGTCTTTTTTTTTTTTTAAATAACTATTTGAGTTGTAACTGTCCTTTTTTAAGGACATGATCTAGGAGAAGGCATGAATTAGAACTATGTACATGTAAGCTGAAGCTTTAATGAATTACTTCTGAAAAAATAATATCAATTGATATTAATACACATTTATTAACTGGAGAAGGTAGGGAGTCAGAGGAGAAAGGGAACTTTTTTCACTGGACAAGATTAAACCTAAAACTGAGTAGAGAAAAAAAAAGTATCTCTGGCTCCTCCTATTCTGAGTTCTTAGCCACAAAAAGGTATCATAATATTGCAAAGCTATGGCCTACAAATAATTAATATTGATCCCATTAAAACTTCTGTAAATGCTCCAGTTTACATTGAGAGTGCAGTGAGTACTGGCAGGACAGAGCTCTTGGGCAATAAAGCTCAGCAATATTAACTTCATGATTTGGTTTTGCTGTCAGATGGTCATCATTTCACTGAATTTAGGACCTTAGGAAAGTGTGGGTTGCTCTGCTGTCCTTCACAGCCTCCGACATCCTGTTGCTCTTGGGGCAGTGGGAAGCTTGTGGGAGGCTGAGCTTTATTTAAACAATATTTATGACATTGCTAGAAATAGTCAAATTACTTTTTAAAAAAAAAAATCATATAGAACATGGCAAAATCAAATGAAATTAAAATGAAAAATACCTTTTAATTTCAGTCTGTACAATCAGAAGCAATAGTCTGTGTGCAAATGGATTAACGTGCCAAAACCATAACTTGAGGCTAGAAGTGTGACATCCCTCAGTAAATTAACATCAATAATTATAAGCTGTAAACAGTTGCAGATATAATTAAGATTTGGGGCCCTGGGGTTGTACAAGCCCTGCTGCAGCTGATCATCAGACTCTCTGATCTTGATGTTGGAGTCCCCTCAGGAGACAGCAAAGTTACAAACATTGCCCTGCCTGGAAATAAAGTACCAACATTTTGGGAGCATTTGCAAAGTTCCTCTCTCCCTCTGTTTTAAAGGGGCTCTTTCTCAAAGAGGAAAATGAGAGTTTTCCATTTTCCCCTGTTTCCATTGTTGCTCCTGCTCTCCTTGCAGCTGAAGATGTGCCAGAACATCGTGAGAAAATGTTGGGGTTTAAAGGGTTAAAATAAACAAGTTGTTACAGTCCCCTGCAGACAGAAAACTGTCCCCAAAGGGTGGAGGATATTGCTTTGTTAAATTTGTAGGGTGGAAATAAGGAGGAGAGAGAGGAAGAGCAAAGGAATAACTACTTCCAATGAGCTGCTGAGCTGTGTGGAAGGAAAATGGCAAAACAGGTGCTTGTGTTGGAAGTATCCTGTCAGAGCTCTGGATCCATAGGAAGAAGAAAGAAGGGAAAAACCAGGCAGAGTAAGGGTTTCAAGTGAAACTATTGGAGCATTTTTCAGGATGTGCAGATTATTGGCCCTTTAAATGGAATATTTAGAACTTTGCAGAAAAAGACATTAAAGAAAGCCATTGGTTACTCCTCATTCCGGGGAGACAAAGCCCAGTCTGTTGGTCAAGAGCTCGAGCTGCAGCAAAGAAGGAGCACCAGCAGAGAACTGGTTTGTGTTTTGAGCTAAGGACTGGGTTGTGATGGTACATTCTGTGGGTATAATTTGCCTTCAGAGTTATAACTTTCAATGAATTATTTGTGTCACTGGAACTCCTTTTGTGGAAGCCCTTACACAAATTGCAAAGTGCCTTATGTTGTGTAGAATTTTCCCTTTCTCTAAGAACACCTGCTTGAGGTGTTTGTGCAGAGGATGGTGGTGCAAAGGCCAGGCTGTTTGGTAGGGGTGGGAATCAGAAATTACTCCTATTCCAGATCTAGAATGGCCCTTTTTTCTGCACATAACCCAGGTATAAGACATGGGACGAAAAGAGGAGTTTAAGTGGTGACAGAAGTTGGCCCTGGCTGGCTGGTTAGTTCTGTTCTTCCCCAGGAGGTCATTAATCTCATGTGGTGGGAGCTGCCCTGTTTGTACCACTGCAAGACACCATTTGTGTGGGGAAACCCTCAGAGCAGAGCAGTAAAAGGTGGCTTAAATGTCCGTGGGAAAAAAGACAATAGGATCATCATTTTATCCTGAAGGTCCAGGGAAGTCAGTCTGTGCAGCTCTGGGATGCACACGGTGTGCTGGGTCCTGCCTGATGTTCACGTAATAGTCCAGTGGTTAAATGTTTGCAGCTTTTCAGCATTTGTAGGATCTGCCTCCCAGGTGTCTTTGAAATTGTCCCATCAGCAGAGCCTGCAAAATTCCCAAACTGGTACAGGAACATGTTACAGGCACATTTTTACTACAGAGGGAACCTGTGAGATGTAAAACTTCCTCTCACTGCAGCGAAACACGAGTGCAGTGGGGTGGCTGTGGGAGCCGGGGAGGCCACGTGGGCACTGAACCCCCTGTGTGTGTTGTGGGGCTGAGCCCAGGGACACATCCAGTCCCTGGGGTGGAGCTGACACCAGGCAGAGGAGCCACACAGGCACAGAGCAGGGCCTTCCCTCTGTCCTGTGTCATAGCCCACTGGAGCCGTGGTCCTCGCCCTCTGTGTGGCACACTGTGCCCTGTGCTGTCTCTGAGCCTTTCCAGAGCAGCCCAGTACTTGGTGTAAACCTGGTCTTGCTCACACAGAGAACAACTCTGATCATACACAGAAATTAATATAAATCCTCAAAGAAAACAGCTTTGAAGAGCGTCGAAGTTGTCGTGTCACGCAGAACAGAGGCAAAGCGTTCAGTTCTTGGCTTCACAGAAGAGTGAAAAACAACTGAAGCTCAGGAGAATTGCTTGTCTGTTTGTAGTGATCCTCGTGGTTTGTGGGAGGCCACATCTTAGGAAGTTATTGCTGGTAACAGGCACATACAAAGAGGAGATTGGAAAAAATGGTGCAACAAGTTTGTCTTGATCCTCCTGAAATATTGTTGTTTCCACTAAAAGATAAATGCTCATTTCACTGTAAGAAACTGCTTGGCCAGGAAATTATTATAGGAGGAATTTGGCTTCAGTGGTTGATTTTTTAAAGAAAGGCAACCTCAAACCAAGGCTGCAGGCTGGCTGCATTCCTCCTGCTCCTCCTCCTGCTTTACTCACAGTACCCTGCTTGGGAAGAGCAGAGGCTGAGGGAGCTGCTCAGCTCTTCCCCCTGCTCCACTCTGATGTTCCATCCTCATTCTGCCACCTGACACTATTTATTGCCTGCTTTACCCACATCACCCTCTAGCCCTGCTGAAGTGTTACTCTGACTTGCAGCACCTCTATAAATCTCTTAGAAAAGCACCAGGGTAGTTTTACAGGTGTAATGTCTTTTTATTTTATTCCCCAGCATGCAGTACCTGAAGCTGTTTCCCCCCAGTGTATAAATTTAGTGAGTTTTCCCCCTGTCTCTGCCTTTCTGATTTCTGAGATCAAGGAGCATTTGGAAATGCTTCCACTGCCTCAATTCTGACTGACTGGAAAATAGGTTAAAAGTGATACTTTGTACTGTAGCACTTTACAAAAGTGTGTTTTGTTTGACAGGACTTAATAAAAAAATCTTTTAATCTC